ACAGAGAAACTATTCCAGACATGTTTAAGAGAGTTTTTAACTGTACAGTGAGACAGTGATTTGTTTTTGTATCTCCAGCAAAAAGGCTGAACTTCTTAATTACCATCAATCCAATGAGAACTTGTAAAGTTACCTAAAAGTGGCTTCTCTGGGCATGTAGAAACCAGTATTTTGGACCTGATTTAAGCTTGTGCTGTTCATCCCACTGGGAGGAGGAGAGTTCCTGTTCAAACAATATTAAATTCTCATATTCTGGCCTGGAGGGACACTGTCACAGGTGCAGGAGTGACTATTGCCTATTTGCAGCCTGAGCTGTAATTTCAGAAGCAAATTGCACAATTGAGGAAAAGAAGGAAACCTGCCTGAGATAGGTTGATTTATTTTATAAATGGGCACTGAAGTAGCTCATTTATGTGGAATGTTAAAAGCACTCCCAGCAGAGGAGAACTAGTAGCCAGAGCGCTGTCAATATTATGAAATAAATAATGTATATTCAATCAATTCAAGTAAGAGAAATATAAACTCTGCCATGTTTCACTTCATATGTACAAGGTCCATTGTCATCCTCCAAATACTCGTTAAAAGGCATATATTCCCATATGTGCACTGAATGGCTATAGCTGAGCGTTAGAGCAATCTATTACATTGTCATATAACCAGCATGGAAGTCCTCTGTGGAAGCACATGAAAAATACTGTTACCATTTGGGGTGAGAGAAGAGAGAGACCAGAAAAACAAAAAAAAAAAACAACCAAAAAAATCCAAGCCAAAACAATGCTGCGGAGAAGGGCTGATTGAGCCATCTGTTGATGACAAAAATAATTGCGCAACTTTAGTATTCACTCGTAACTTGATTAAGACTAGGTCATTCTGGCTGAAATTTTCTAGACTCTCTTTTCTGAGCTGGTTCCTTTTTTTAAAGGAACATGATAGCCCCAGATGGTGGTGACATGCTATTTTCTGTTCTAATTAAACTTTTTCATTCATCATTGATAAACCAATGCAGTTGGAGATGTGTCGGGCTTGCCATCTCCATTTCCTCCACGATGGATAGTTCTTTGCTAAATTTTTTATTCAGCCTGTTAATTCACACTCGGAAGTGGAACCACGCTTGGGTTCAGAGCCTTGTCAGGATGACATTGTGCTCCCATCTTCCCTGTGTATTCAAAGTATTGAAAAGGTACTGAAGTTTTATTACTTAAATTGTAAAGATCGTGGTTGAATGTGAAAGGATGCCAGTGTATCAGGAGTTGCAGTTGCTAGGGATTCTGTCAAGAGGTGTAGATTGTTTTCTTGTAAAGCCAGATGGAGTTCGTACTGGTATGAGTTTTAGTGCTATGGTAGGATCTTGTGTCCATATTAGTCCTGTGAAAACAAGGGCTGTGCTCTGGACTGAGGCCTTTGGAAATGTTGAGGTATAAATAGTCAGATTCCCGCCCTGAAGTCTTTGGTAGCAGAAGAGAAGACTATAGATGCCCAGTGTAGTATTGTTGATAGCAGCCTCTTGGAAACTACAATCAGATGTCTTTGGCTTTTTTTTTTTCCAAGAGGTGGAGAGACTTGTTGCACACAGAAGTTCATGAGGACTGTGATTCGCACGTTATGGGGGCAGCAAGAGGACTGCAGCTTATTGGATAGTTTTTGAAGGAAGGTTTTTTTTTTCCATTTAATTTCATTTCACTGGAATTTGTCTGCTTGACCAATACAGAACGTTTGAGAGGGACTGTGTTGATTTCGTGGACAATCTGCTAGAAGCCCAGCAGATTCCTGGGACTCAGTCCTGCCTGTCAAGTGTCTGGGTGCCAGTAGCCTGCAGTTACCATAAAAGGGGGCTGCCCTTGGCTATGCTATCTCCAAGTAGACCCTGAGCCCTGTCAGCCAAACCTCTAGTAACCTGAATGCCCTCCAGGCTTTTGAGCTGTCTTTGAAAATTCAGCAATGCCCGATTGGATATGATATTCTAGGACATCAAGACCATCCTAATTTTCATGGACAGTCGTATCTCTCCTTCCATAATAATCAAGCCCTACCTACAGCTAGGTAACTTTTTGGTACCCATTACTCCTATTTAGAGAAGCTAAACAGATGGAGACCTTCAAGTGCCCTCTTGCAAAGCAGACTTGCCATTTCTTTGATTAGCTCTATTCTGTGCTTGTGGAATTTGATCTTTACATTTCTGAAAGTGCCTGATGAGAACTGTACAGAGTGTTCCAGACGAGGTCTCTCTGGGGCTGTGTACAATTAACACTCCTGCTGGAAATGCCTCCAGAATAAATTCATGGACAGCTTGTATGCCCAAAAGGTGTGGGTGACCTTTGTGCATAAACCAAAAACTACTATGAGGCCCAAATGAGATTAGAGCCATCCATCAACTTTACGTGTGGGTCTTCTTGAATATCACCAAACCAGATTATGGAGTTTTTGTTTGGGAGAGTAGCTGTGATACAGTAATGAAGGAGGAGTGTTTCACATTTTTGATCTGAAGAACTTTAAAAAATATATTTTACTTTCTGAAACAGAAAATTGCAGACTGAAAAGTCAACACAACTGAGTGAGGACTAAGAATGATTTGCAAGTGTCAAGATATATCCTTCCATCTGGATTTCCACTTGATTTGTTTTTAATCGCTGATAACAAGCAATACGTAAGAATCAAAATAACATGTTTTCATCTCAATCCTCCTCAAAACAGGACATTCCTTACTGGTTATTCTTTTCCTACAAGCAATGACATGACTTTGGGGTTGGTGGTTTGTTTTTTTTTTTTCCTTTGATTGAAATTTTTAAATATTGAGAACTTTCTCATTTACTTTTGGAAAAAAAAAAAAAAAAAGGAAATAAGAGTTATGTTCTAAATTAATAAACCAGATAGAAACCTGCAGCTCTTGCAGCTGTATTCCATTCCGCTCAACAGGTATAATGTGTGTTTTTAACAGGTATAATGTGTGTTTTTAAAAGGTTGCAACCTGCTGTAGGTGACCCTGCTCTGGCAGGGGGGTTGGACTAGATGATCTCCAGAGGTCCCTTCCAACCCTAACCATTCTGTGATTCTGTGATTCATTAGGGCACTGAATAAGAGCAGTTGCTGTATCTTTGTAAGCTTGGCAGCTCCCTCCCTCTTGTCAACTCTTTATTCTGTTCTCTCTGTCACTCTTAATCCCCTGTCCTGCCTACTAAATTGCAGCTTTCTCCATTAATCCACCTGCTCTGCAGCTGTCTCAATTTTTTCTGAAAGGTTTTAGAGAAAATCTGAGTATCACACGTATTACTCCCACTGCTACTTCAGTTTCTCCTCCTTTAATACTGTTACCTGCATCAAAAACACACATGATTTCTCTTTCCTCTTTGCAGTATTTACCTTTTTCCCAGGACTGACAGTTCTCTGCTTTGATCACGATCTCTTCAAATCCTTTACCTGTTCGGTAGCTGCTTCCAGGCTCCTTCAGGACAAGGGGTGACTCCATGCCATCATGCTATTTGTGCTCATTTCCCTCTGGCCTTTCCTCTTCCTTTCCCCAAGGCTGAGTTTTCAGTTCTCATTTATTTATTTTACCCTCTTTTCTGCCCCAGCTCACACACTGAACAGGTGCTCAAGCATGCCCGGCAGTCTCCCATTCACAAAAGTCAGCATTTAACAGGAGCTGTGGAAGGTTGACACCACACACACCTCTGTTTCACCTCTGGTGTCAGGATGCCTTCTCCTGGGTGCCTGCACTGGGTTGTTGTCAGCCTCTGGCTCCTGCAGTCCTCCTCCTCCCAGACCAAAGCCAAGACCAGTGCGTAGGCACAGAGGCCTCAGTGAAGTGGAGGGCCTGTGCGCTCGCTCTCTTTTTGCCAATGATGAACCAAAACTTTCCTTTCCAAACCTTGTGTTGGGGCCTGACAGTCTACTGCCTGACTCACCTGCTGCCTCTTTTGTTAACTTAAATAGTCTGGTGTGGAGAACATTTGCTCTTGGGCATCCTGGAAGAGGGTGGCAGTTTCCTTATGCTATCGAAGAGCAGTCAGCTCACAGCTGGGAAACGTTATGCTTCTTACAGGAGAACTGACAAAGAGGAGCTGATTTGGCAGCCTGTGATTTCTGTCTGTCATTCCTTTCCCTGTGAAGCATGCCAGCAAGGGACATATCTTTCCCCTCCACTGTATCTTTCCCCTCCACTAACTGGAATGTAGTAACACCAGTGATGAGATAATGTCTGCTGAACTGGTAGTGGTCTAGTTCCTGCACTGGGAAAGGGGGAAAAAACACCTGCTTGAATAAAGTCCAGGACTTCTGTCTTCTCCTGTGGCATGAACCCTCCGTGTGTTTCATCTTCTTCTGTTACAGGGGATCCAGTAATGGGGAGAATTGCTTATGAGTTTAGTCAGTGGTGCTTTTTATTTTCATACCACTTTCAGTAAGTGTTTCAAGTAGAAAGCTTAAACATCCAATACTTTTTTCTGGAAATCAGGTATTTGTTACATTTTGTAATTTTTTTTTAACTGTGTAACTTGGCAGCTACTTAGGTGGCTGCCAGCCTTGAATATTCGTAGAGGTACCAATCAGTTGGTGGCAATGCAGTAAAGCAACTTGTGTGCAAACTCTTGAATACTGCGTGTTTCCTTATAGAAAGACTATATGCATCAAACTGCTTAATGTCTTCTTCATTTTATTATAAACGCTTTTAATTAAAAAGGTCTTGTAATTAGATTCTCTTTTCTGCTTTGAGCCCTTTTTCCATCTCCTTTGATAAGAAAGACATCTCATTTTGAAATTCTCTTTAGTCCCCCTACTACAGCTGAAGAGCAGAACATTAACCATCTGTCAGCATATCTTAGTCTTTGGGAATAATTCAATAATTATCTTCAAGTGCAGTTGGTGATGTTACACATTTGATGAAACACTTATGAGGGAAAGTACTTTAGGGAAATAGACCTTTCAGTGTGCATTGTAGAATTGCAGGCAGTTTTTTGTGGTTTTTATTACCTCTGAAATAATTGTGCTCTGCTTTTTTATTGCAGTATCTACTAGAAATGAAAAGCTTAATTCTGCCCCCTGAACATATTCTGAAGAGAGGGGACAGTGAAGCAATAGCATATGCTTTCTTTCATCTTCAACACTGGAAAAGAGTAGAGGGAGCGTTGAATCTCTTACACTGTACATGGGAAGGCAGTAAGTAATTTTCTTTCTTATAAAGGAGCTAATAAAATATTTTTATTGAATGTCATGAGAAAATAATAGCTTTTCATGAAGTATGGTATGTGGGAATTTGGAGGTCAGTTATATTCTCACCAGCATTGAAATATTTTAAATTGAAACTGAAAAGACAAACTTCATTTAATGAGGAAAAAGGGTTCTGAAGTCTTGGATTGTGTTTGCTGTGTGACACTGAACAAAACTTCCTATGTTCTTTGTGACGTATTTCCTTACTCATGGATAAGGGAATGGATATTTTGTCTTCCCCATTCCAGAGCTGTACAGATTTGTTTGTAATTATTTGAATGCTTTGATTTTGGGAAATTATGAAAGTGGCTTACAAGCAGAAGAAAACCCAACAATAATAACATAAAATACTGTTTTGGCTTATACTGTTCATTAATATTTAATTGACATGCTGGAGTGAGTCCAGTGGAGGGCTACTAGGATATATAGGGGGCTGGAACATGTGAAGTAGGAAAAGGTGCTGAGTAAGATGGTTTTATTCAACCTGAAAAAGACTTGTGGTAGTTGAAGGAGGGATCCAGTTGCTGTCTTCCTCCACCCAATGGAGAGATAATATGGAAGACAGAGTCACAGTCTTCTCAGATGGGCACAGCAGAAAGGCAAGATGCAATAGACACAAGTTGCAGCAAGAGAAATCTCATTTAGACATAAGGAATATATTTTCAGAATGAGAGTGGTGATGCACTGGAACAGGTTGCTGGTACATTGTGGGATCTCCATCCCCAGAGGTACTCAGAGCTCAACTGGACACGGCCTTGAGCAACCAGGCCTAACTTTGAAAATGACCCTGCTTTGGGTAGGAGGTTGGAGTGATATGCTAACCTTCTGCTTTGCTTTCTTCTATTCTCTTTTAGTCTCTCCATATGTTAGTATACCACCATTTTTTTTCCTTCCTCCATTTGCTGTTCTCATTTAGGTTTGTTATAAAAGATACAATTTGTCATCATGATTTAATACCACCATTGTAAAAGTGACTTACTGTCTCAGGCACTGGATTAAATGGCCCGAACTTGCCTAATTTGCAATGTAGGCTCCCTGCAATGGCTTTATTTCTGGGTATATGGAACACCTTGCTCAGTAATCCATGCAATTGCTGCCTGGGGTTTGCTCCGCTGCATTGTTCTCTGTCCTACCTGCTTGCTCTTTTCCTGCCATTTCTCCCAGTCTATTATTTTCTCTGTCACAGCTTCCTTCCCAGTGGCTTATTTTCAGTGGTTTGCTTTTACATAGCATTTCTTCTCTTCCAGATGCTTGCAGAAGTCCTTTAGCCCAAGGCTCGTTATCCCATCATTATGGAGCAGTATTTTGCAGGAAATCCTGAATAGATCTTCTTTTGCTTTGTCAGCCTGGGGAATCCCTAAGGGGCTGTTTATAAGGACCAGCTTTTGGCACAGGAGGCTAGCTGCCCTGCAGTCCTCCTGCCACATAGGGAATCTAGTCATTTGTGCCTCAAAGCAGTGTAGGGCATTCCCATCCAACTACATTAACTGATTCCTCTCATTATTACCACTACAGCAATCTGAATATGTATTTTATTAGCTAATTTTTGTATGGTAGCCTGTAAAGATGTAAATTATTATTGTTGCATAACCTCTAAAGAAAAATCCATAATTCATTTTGCTCAGTGATTTCAGAGTGAGATGAACAGTGCACCAGTCCTCGAGAACTTTGTTCAGATTTTGTTTATGCATAAAGACTCCCGTGGGTTTTAATGACTAGTATCTAGTACAATAATCATTACTTTTGGTCCATATCTTAGTCTGGGTAATGTTCTTTATGAATGTAGTGAACTATTTGTGTCACTCTTATGTCCTTTACTTGCAAAAGGTTTCCTTGGCATCTCTGTGCAATTGCAAGTTAAAACCAGTGGAAACATGACGGAGAAATTAAATTTCATTAAATACTAGTTCTAACCAACAGTCTACATACAGTACATGGTCAGTTACGCTTGCATTCTTTCTAGGTATTTATGTACTTGCCGTGTCTTTAAAGTGTACTATTCCGTCAATGTGCTTAAATAAGCACAAGTCTCACTTTAGTAGCTTGTGTTTAGGAATTTAATGCCCACGTATATACACAACTCAGTTCTGACCTTGTGGGAATTCGGCAGCGTTAAGTACATTCAGTCAGTCACTTGGGGGTACGTTTTGAACACTTCTGAGGAGAATAAGGTCACTCCTAATTAAGACAGACTCTAACACAATTTATGAAGAAATATCTTTGTGATATTTTAAATTCCAAAATTCTCATGGAGTGTTTTTCCCCAATTCCATTCAACTGTTGAGAAAACTGAGGTTATAAAAATAATGATCATCATCGCACTGGAATGTTGGTTGTTTCCTGCCCTGTCTTCATTCAGTCAGTCAAAGTACAGTTTTATTCATAGTACTACTAAAAAAGCCCAAGTGGTACCACATGAAACATTGCTCTGGGTTTGGTCCAGGTGCTCTGTACAGAAGGTCTGTAGTTTCAAGTGTAACCAGATTTCAAAGGAGTCTGAGGTGCTTGTTCATCACTGTCAGTTTCTAAACTTGTGTCCTGTTTCCTGTTGTTTGCATGAAGAAGAAAAACCTCGGGGTTCTCAAATACTAAAGTAGCTTTTACGACAAGCACACGGTTGAATGGCAAACTGCCTCTGTGCTACCTGAATTGATGAACGTAAAAGAGGATCAGATAATACTCTAAGAGTAAGGCAGAGGAGTTCCTACATAAACACAAACTGGTACAGATGAACCAGAGCACTTTCTTCCATGATTGATAACATTGCTAAATAAACTGTTTTGGTGTAAATATTCCATATTTGTTCTCATGTCAAAGATGACTGTTTAAATTCGGCAAAATCTATTCAGACATTTTTCACTTGTTTTGTAAAAGGAACATTTATAACACCCTTTTTGATTACAATCTTAATACTACTGTGATTTAGGGTAAGGCATAAAAGGCTTTCTTGTCTGTTTAAATATTAAGCCAAATTGGAAAAAAAAAATTGTGTTAGTGATTTTGAAGTAGTGACTTCTAGATGCTCCAAAATCAATCATTTTCTGCATTTCTGATATATTTAATTTTAGTTGTCATGGCAAGTAGGAGAAGACTTCTCTGGCCAAGGGGTGGTGGCCTTTGCCCATACAGGATCTCCCTGCAGCCATCAAGTAGTGAGCATTGAATGTCCCTGCACATATGTTTTTGTAGAGACAGTCAACTTTGTTGCATGTGAAGATCATACTAGGCTTGGACTGTTGTATTTTTACATGGCTTTTTGGGATGCTATGGAGACGGGGGAGTTAATATTGGAAAAGTGTTACAGCCCAGGTTGGTTTACAGTGTTGGAGGATTTCTGCCTTCTTTACTATTGCTTTAAACATAGTAATCAAGAATAAATACACTCAAATAATCGCACAAAAAATACAGCTAGCATTATTTCAAATGCAGTGTGCACAACTGAAAATATTGGGGTGTTGTGTATTTTAAACCAATTCCTCAGCTGCCTTGTAAGCAAGAGATAATGGACTATTATCATGTGGCAGAGGGCTGTACCTGCCATCTAAAATATACAGTGCTTCTAGGACATCTGTTGAAGAAAATATTGCTTCAGTGACTGATGTTCATAGGAACAGTGAGAATAACACGTTGATGACATTTTAACAGTGAGAATAATATACAGGATAATGGAAAAGAATGCCTTGATTGCAAAGCTATAATTCAGTCAAGTATTCTGGTGTTTCCATAAACCACACTCAGATGGCCTATGACATCATCACCATCCAGATTTAGTAATCCATTTCCCTCCCTCTCTGTTATTATTTTCAATTTTAAAAATGCATAAGATTAAGTATTATTTAATCCATGACCTGAAGATTTATATTGGGAACCTGACTTGATCTGCTACATTTAAAAAGAACGCATGTGAGGAATCTGGTTTTAATAATTCAGTATTAATCTTTGATTGCCAAATATAAAATGAAAACATGACTGTGATGGAAAACTGGTTCTCTGGGCTTGAGTCATCAGTGTTACCTGGTTTGCTGGAGTGTGATGGGAAAAAAGTAGCGCACTTTTTTCCTTGCAAAACTTCTGTTATGCTTGATGCAAGGAGATTGCGAGTATTGGCCTGAATTTACAAGCTTGGCTGGTCATTTTTGTAGGCTGTACATGTTATATCGGATACACTTCTTTCCCCTGAAATTTTAAAATTCTGCAGCCTAAAAGCCTAAGACAAAATGTGTAAATTTGGCTACGGAATTGTAAGACAATGGGCTCTGATCCTGCAAACATTTATGCATGTACTTGTAGTGTGGTCTCCGTGCCCATGAGCCTTCTCCCAAGAAGAAAAATAAACATAAGTATTTGCAGGATGAAAAAGCTAAGTGTAGATTTATATTTTGGCACTTCATTAGACAATTTATATGCTGTTTGCAACCAAATATAAATGTTACGTTTTGTCTATGTTTGTTTTTCAAAATTGTAAATATAGTTAAGCATGTTCAGTGACTGCCCCGCTCACTGTAACTTGTGCATGGTGTTGTTTTCTTTTCAGCTTTCAGAATGATCCCCTATCCACTGGAAAAAGGACACCTTTTCTACCCTTACCCTATTTGTACAGAAACTGCAGATAGAGAACTACTACCATGTACGTTCAAGTTTTCTCTTCTTGTCATTGACATCAAAGAATTGTTTACCCGAGTCTTGCAGCACTGCTCTCCATTGATGATGCCTTTTAAATGGAATACACTGGATTAGAATAGTTGGGTTGACAGAGAGTCTCTGGAGCTCCCTTGATGGTTTAAGAGGCAGCTCCTAGCCATAGTTCATAACAACATCTTTAACATCTTCTTGTTGTTGACAGTGTAGGGACAGGGAGAGAGATTACTGAAGAGATATAAATCTGTTAGATTTTGCTATTCTCTCTTGCCAGGATACTGGAAAATATGTCTGATCTTTCATCTAGGCTGACATCCCATCAAATCAAAAGCACAGTGGCACAGCCTTGTTAGTCTTTTGTAGAAACAGTAGCTACTTAAATTCCAAGGCGAGATCAAACCTGCTTGAGGATGACTGGATCATTAACGCAGCTGTTATTCTGACAGGTTGTGCTGACGTTTTCTGAAAATAGGAAGAAAGGGTTTTCTTCGTGGAATGGTGTGTCTGCTATTGCGAAGAGATTGATGTGAAATTACCTGTCATTTATTATATATGTTTATGGCATGTATTAGCAAAGTACCAACAGTGTTCCCAGTGCTCTGCAAGATGCAGATATAAAGACAGATCCAGCCCTTCAGAAGCATTACAGTCCAAGCTAATGGGACTGCTTGCAGTGCATGCAGTGAAGCACAAGAATGCAGAGGAAGAGCTGGAGCAGCCAATCTTGCAAACACTTATGCTTCATTCCCACATGTTTTCTCACTGAAGTCAGTGAGACTTCATGTGAGCACAAGTGAAACACATGCAAGTGTGGAGGGGGTTGCAGGGTCAGGGCAGAGAAGACAAGGTGATCCAAGGCATAAGGTTCTTCTCTCACCTTCTCTATCCTGAAGAAGGAATAAAGAGAAATCTGTTCTGGAAAAAGTAAAACGTAACTTGTTTCTGCTGTGAGGGCTGGTTTTTGAGGGCATTTGCACTTTTTGTAGTCTTTCATTCAGAACCTCTCTGGTTTGGGCTGAAAAATGTGTTACCACTTTTTATAAGCCTATGTGAGTAAACATTAGGTGAGAATAATACAGCAAAAATCCACTCATTGCGAGTCTCTCCTTCACAGTACATTCTCGCTGATATTACACAGAAATCCTTGGCAACTGACAATATCTCCCCACCCCATTATAATCACCCTAATTATAACAACAGCACTTAGAGTGCTCTGCTTGCTTTACTCAGAGGGATGCTGAGCTGGGGAGGGTGGAGTGTCAGGAGATTTGGGAATGACAAAGTCATGCAGAATAGCTCAGCGTTCTCGTTTTAGATGCAAAACTAATCGTTCTTGTCAAATGTTAGAAGCGAGGGACTCTTTAACAGCATATGCAGACAGTCCTGTTCTGCTCTGGCAGTTATGGGAAATGCCTTTCACTGCAAAATCTCTTGGGTTTGAGTAGGGAAGGGTTTAACATACCGTGACAGACACAGGTCCGTTAAAGGGGTTTTGCGTACCTGTCCACACCCTTTAATTGCTTGTGTTTTAAAGGAGAGTCAGCTGGAATTATATCAGAACACTAAGATCTGGTAGGCTATCCAAATTAAAAATATCAATCACAAAACTTTTTCCGTAGCTGTATAAAGACTGGATCAACAAGTTTGAGCCTGTGTCAAAAAGCAAGCGCAAAAAACTGAGCACAAGAAATCTTAGACTTACAGAGTCCGTGATCTCGTATTTCCCAATCTCTAAATATAATTTAAATCAAAGAAAAGCTGCAAATTATCTGTGTTTTTCTTTCTAAACTGAATGAATTAGCAGACCCGAAAATTATATATATTTTTACTTTATAACATTTTAATTTAAACTCTTATGAATTCATGCTGTTGGTTTTGGAAACCATTCCACTGTGGATGAATGCAGTCAAGGATATTGTCTTGTCGTGTTGCTGGATTACCCTGTGCTTACGTTGTCTGCAAGTACGATGAGACGAGAACTGGTCGCTGAAGCAAAGAAAGTAGGCAAAATGGAAGAGTACTGTTTTGTGTGTATAAATAGTCCTAGGATTTGAGTATATGGGAAGCCTAGAGGCTGGTCCTGTATGAGAAAAAAATGTTTCAAAGCTGCATTTATCATGATAGTATGGACTGAATGAGTGAAGCAGACAGATAAGAGTTCACCAGACCTTTTTCCAACCCAGCCAAATTCTCACCTTGAATCTAAGCCCCCATAAAAGTTTAAGGGATATATTTTTCCACTGAAATACTTGTTATCCTCTTCTGGTCCTTTTAGCCTTCTCAGTGCTGCTTTCTCCAAGGCCCAGTGAGCAACTTCTCATACCAGAGTTGAGGAAATTTCTGTATTCCTTTTAGAGTATACTAACAAACACCTTAAAAATTCACTATTAATTTAAATTTCAGGTTTTAACACTTTAAAAAGTTGTATTGTTAGAAGCATACAGAGAACGCTGAATATCTGAATTTAAAGTATGTGTTTATATGTCCTACTTTTAGGATAACTCTTCCTGGCTCTGCAGCTTGAACCATCAGAATTTACTGTTACAAGGCTATAGTTTTACAGGCTGCTTAAACTGATCTACAACCGTGCTTCGGCAGGGTTGGGCTCACTGCTGCTCCCGGGTGCACTTCTGCACTGTCTGTATATCAGCATTAGCAAACATGCAGCCATGTAGCTAGTCAATGGCCGGTGTAAAAAAAACTGGATGTTTTATTTGTAGGTTAGTTTTCTGGGGTTAGTTGTTGTCCAGCTGCATTGTAGTTAGTGCTGACACAGGGAAGGCAAAAGTAACATGTACATAGGACTGGAGTAAGCCAGAAATATGATCTTTGGATGAGAATTACTTGGCAGTGAGATGACTGACACAGCAATAATGTTGACTGTAGATGTTTCAGACCTTCTATGTGTTTCTTCCTTCAAAAGCATCTTTGGGTATCTCTGGCTGTTTAAACTACATAAGAATGTTGGTTTGGTTTTGGCTGTTTTTGTGGGTTTTACATATAATGCATTCCCCTTCCCATCTTTTTTTTTCTACAGCATTTCATGAAGTTTCAGTTTACCCCAAGAAAGAGCTTCCCTTCTTCATCCTTTTCACTGCTGGACTATGTTCTTTCACAGCCATGCTAGCTCTCCTGACACATCAGTTCCCAGAGCTTATGGGGGTCTTCGCAAAAGCTGTGAGTATTCTCTGCTGCTGCTCTCTTCTGGTAAATAAAGACACAGATGCAGGAATAGCTGAGCTAAATACTGCTGGGTATTAAATATCTGCATATTCAGTAGTATAAATAAAACATCAAGAGATGTCTGAGCAGGGGGTCATTTGAGCAACTGTTAAGGGAGCTGATCAGTAAAACATACTACTGGCTGTCTTCTCTGGTATATATGGCTGATTTGTTAGGCTAGGTCTCTTCTGATTTTGCCAAAAACGGCTTAGTGGGAAAAGGGAGTATGTGTGTTTTCATATATAATCTGATAAAATAAACTAATAATGGTTTTCAGAACCCCTCTGTTTTGTGTAGACCCATAATGACTGTGCCATGCTTTTCATGGCAATAGAAACTATTAGTATCAGGACAAATAGAGTGCACTCTTAACCAGGGCAAATTTCTGCATTCTTTCCCCAAACTGCCATGAAGGAAGTAGTATCAATATTTCCCTCATAACTTTTCTTGAATACATCCAGGGAAGTCTCTGCTAATTCTGCTTTTTTAATCCACCAAGGGTTAATAATTTTGGAGGATGAGGCAGGGTCATGAATTATGCTGAAACACACTTTTTTCTTTGAGCAACCAAGTACGTCACTGCTCCAGTGTGCTAAGATATGAAAAATCCACTTACAGAAAAGTTCTAGGATAATAAAAAAAGCTGTCTCCTTCTCCAAGAAATACTGAATATCCTGTGTTGTAATATATTTTCTCAGATATATTTGTATCTCTCATAGGTCTTAAGTTTCCCAAATAGCTTCCTGGCCTTGTTTTTAATGTCTTTGGTGCTTTTGGTCTGGGGAGCGTGGGGGGTGGGGTGGAGAAAGCAATGCTGAAAGGCTTTGGCAACTTCCAGATTGTAAGTACTTTCTCAAACTCCTTTGCAAATGGCAAGAGACTCCCTTTGCAGGTGAACCAGGTCTTCTGCCACCCATGCTTGTGAGTGATAGAGGTCCGATACAGCAACAGTTTTTGCATCAAGAACTTTCTTCTGTTAGCTCTAGAAGGCAGAAAATAAGATTAGCTGTAGCAAAAGATACCACTTCTGTCAGCAAAAAGTTCTGAAACATACCTGAAATATTATTACTTTCTCTTGTTTCTTGAGTGTATATGTAGGCATTTGGTGGACAATAACTGTAATGTAATTCGTGCATATGATCTTAAACTTCTTTGTAAAGATTATTTTGTGTTTTTTTCCTTAAGTTGTTGAAGTGCATGACCCTTCTTTGGGGGCTCTTTCAATGTAATCTGAAGTTTTCTGATACTGTCACAGTTAATGACGCTAAATCTGTCCCTGTCAGCCTTGTTCCTGTGCTTGTCAGCCTTGTATCCTGAACAAATAATATATATCTCAAGCTGGCAGCCTGATGAGATTTTGTACTTAGTGCTCCTGCTGCAGGCAGTGGGCTACTGGAATTGGAGAAAATTGGTAGCATCTTTGCATGGGCTTAACTCACCTGGCTTTGGTTGCCGAGTGCCATCAGACAGAGATACCAAAAGTTATGCCGGTGGTGTGTTAGTAGTTGTTTCTCCATGGTTTGGAGCTTGCAGGTTCCAAAGCCATTTGGGGAGTAGAGTCAGACCAGAAGGAACTATTTCCCTGGTGTCTAAGTGCAGCTGCCATTGGTGTTAATAGAATAGATACGCCAAGACTCTGTATGTGGTTATTAAGTTCTGCATATCAGAGCAGGTAAAGCTCCTATTTAGTAAAATAAGCACAAATAGAATCGAAATGTGGGCTGCATTACATGCATAAAGTTGGCAAGATTACTCAAGATCTCGGAACCTGTGTGGATGCAGTTAGTATGTCAGTTAACATGTATTGTGTCTTGTTTTAGCTATATCTTAATCTTCATAAACTACCACGTGCACCAGCTGAGTTTTTGTTTTACATGGGAAGGGCAGAATTTAAGCCTGTGACATTTGTTTCATAGCTCATAGAAAGGTTTTGATTCAGAAGGGTCATTTTGTTGTCTCCTCTGGGGCAAAGTAGCTCAGGTGTATGAGATTGAAGAAAATCGTGGCAGACATCTCTTTGAAATGCAGCTGTATCAGAACAGAAGAGGCTGGCCAGTCTTGGCTCTTCCCTTTCAGTTTAAGGGAAGTTTGTTTCATAAATAACTAATTTCATAAACAGCTAAAGATGAACGGGCTGACTGTTGCTGTGGTTATGTGCGTTGAATTACCTAATCCTGTACGGTTGGTACTCATTGTGATATGGTGTATTACATTGTGAAACTGTGCACACATGCTTTAATTTTAATAGGTCAAAAATATTCCTTCTCTTATGCCTGCCAATCCCAAAAGCATTGCACAGATGTAATATCACCATCGTGGCCCAGTCTTACGTTACTGCAAATTTATATTTACCATATTTCACAAAAACTGAATAGGTTACCTTGACTGAGTGTTGGGAACTGGCTTTGAGCTGTCCTCCAGGTAGCATCTTCTTACACCTTTTCCATAGCCCGTTAACCCAGACACTGGGTTCTTCAAGGCAGAAAAACCCCTCTTCCACGTGTGAGACTGCCAAAGGTGGCCTGTGCCACTGTGACCATCCCTTAGGGTAGCCTGCATTACCCTGCTGGACGCAGAAGTCAAAGGCATTTTTCAGCTCTTTCCTCCTCTGGGAGGTTCAAGATAGGATGGAATTCACCAAACTCCATCAGGGCATCCATGTTCTAGAGCCAGAACCTGCTCTGAATGCTGCCTGCCACAAAAGCAGCAAGTTTAGATAGTCCCAACTGCATCCAGCCAATTCTGTAACGTTGTGCCTGGAAGTAAGCTTGACTTTTCCCATTATGAAATTGAAAGAATCCAGGTTGTCTTTGATTGTTTTGTCAGACTGAGTATAAGTAACTTCAAAAAGACAGTAGATCTTGGCATTTTCACTCAGTTAGGGAGAAGCATGTTCATAGCTTATGGGTTTAATTTTTGCCAGGCTTTCTAACAAAAGGCTTTTGGAAGTCACTCAAGATATAAATACAAGCAAAACAAATTTCTGATTGCCTGGCTTGGATAAAATTGTCAACACAGTGTTGGTAATATTGAATTTCTTTCATTGTCATGCAGAAATATAACAATATCTGGGAAATCATTAAAAATATGTAAGTGCAGGTCCTTTCGTAACATGGTAGCAATAAGAAAGTATCTTAAATAAAATTGAGAGTTGTATTAACAAGGGGGTCACTATATAATTTGAGTCGACAGTTGTGTCTAAAAGTGTAGTGCCTAGTTAAATTTTTAAAATGAGTGAAACTTCAGAGAGATTAATTTTTCTCTGATTTGATTCCTTTGTTTGCCTGAGATCACTGACACGATCTGTTTCACTATTTCCTGTATGGTGGATGGGACCTCAGTTCAGCAAGCAGGTTTGCCCCGGGAGATATTTCATCTGCGTGGACCTCTACAGATGCAGAGGCAGGGAACACATAGATCTGATTACAGGGACTGAGCAATAACTAGTCAGTTCCTCCATGCAAACACCAACCACACAGTGGAAAAGCTTGAAAAGATACTTTTGGCTTATCTGTTTTAATCAAATGGTGCTATTCAGAAGGTGCTACCAGAAAGCTGCTTTCTGCCAGCTTTGAAATAGATGGGTTGATAGTTTTATTTTAAAATACATAATAATAGCAAGCTTTTTACAGTTCTCCCATCACCAGTTCTGCCACTCTGAATTCTTACTCTACTGCTGGTGCTGTTTTTTCTGTTCCTTGTGGGAAAAAAAAAAGTCAGTGTCAAAAGGAAAGGAAAAAATAATAAAAAAAATAAATAAAAAAAGTATCCGGCAGACTAAGCCCTCCTGGGTGCGGCTATGTGGCAAACAAGCCGGATAGGCATCTGCCAGCAGATGCCAGCCTCCTGCACCAGGAGCTTTCCAAGGGTCAGATAGCCCCAGCACAGATGATGTTGAACAAGAGAGTAAGTGGCATCCTGAGCCTCTTGCTGTCAACAGAGGTTTTGCTCAGACTTCAGTGAAGCCGGGCTTTGATATCCATGAATTTAAATGTAGTTTGTAGACCAACTAATTTTCCAGGTGGAGAAAAACTTGGCTCGTTTTAAACTACAGATACTTTGCTGAGTTTGTTATAGGATACAATCAACTATTTCAGTAACAAAATTCCTATAAATTGCAATAAAACTTACTATCAGGCATATTATTTTTGTTTCATTGATTTAATAAGTATGTAATTTGCACTGTTTACAAAGCTGAGATTTATGCAAGTAGATGCGATGGTGCAAGCTTACCACATGGATCAAGTGCTACTCAAAGAGCAGAAACTATCCTCTAGTAAGCCTTTTGCATTTGGCAAAATTAAAGGGACGTATTTATTTAAACAGTTCACAGCTTAACCAGAGGGAATGCTTCTACTTGGGCTAAGTCACTTGAAGTAGTAATAGCAAACTCTCGGATTAGGCAAGTCAGCGTTACATTAATTCACATTATGCAGCTTGACCTTTAGCGCTACAACTGAAATACTCTGTTCAGCTTCAGTGAGACGTTTTTTCTTTGACCTGCGCTTATGACAAAATCTCTTTACCACTGGTGTTACCTGGTTTTCCCGTGATGCGCAAGTTGTCCATGATGTAGTGTCTGTATTGTATGCAAACGTGTCCAAGAGAGAGTCATGGCAGGAGAGAGAGTTCTTTTTGGCAAAAAGAGAAAACATCCAACACTAGATTTGCTTTAATACTGACCTCCCAAGCAGACTTCATATACACGTCAGTGCAGTAAGCGGAGTTCATATATTTTGTGCTGACTACAGAGCAGTAACTGAAACACAAACGTCTCGCAGCTCTTTGCCAATCAGTTTCAAACAGAACTGTTTATTTTTAGCAAAGTTGCATCAGCCTAAATGGTTAGAAGCCACAGGGTTCACAGTCTCGAAGTGGCTGACTTTGCACATTACTGTACTCTCTCATACACGTACAGGGCCCCAACATAGCTGTACAGTTAAATTGCAGGTAACGTAAAGCACAGTTAATATGTATTTCCCAAAATTTTGGGAGTGCTTTGAGTACCTGAGTTGTGAGATGTGTATCAGGCAGTGGTTTTTTTCCTGTGATAAAATGGTCTCTATTCGCTTGATTTTTGTCATGTATGCCTGTCCTAACATTAATATACTGAAACCTCTCTCAACATTGCTGGCTGTGTTCAGTAACAGAGGGAGGATGTTAAGATAAATCCCAGTTAGTGGTGCCCCAGTGTATGCAGCAGATCTATAGATACTGCAGAACCATTTTAAACCTGAATCTAAAGACCTGCTTTTTGTCTCTGAGGGGTGGTCTCGCA